TTGCAAATTTGTGGTCACGCTTTAAGACTTCTATTTTATTGGTACAAATCTATCTTATATTTGCATGTGTGTATGTACATAGGTGTATAAATATACATATGTATTTGTACATTCGTATATATATACATATCAGTATGCATGTACGTATACTCGACGGCTAGAAAAGGTTGCAATTTTTAAATAGGCACTCATTTGGAACCACTTTACGTCCTCGCACGTTAAACATAATATCTAAACCAAAAATATTTATTTTGGATTCATCAGCAAATTTATTCAATAGTTTAAGCTCTCATATTGGGGTATTTTCGTCCGTTACAGCCTTTTCTGACACATTTCAAAGTTCAGAACTTGCCGGTGCACATTAAGTTCAGCATCCTGAAGGCTGCTTTGTACAGACCGAGTGAAAAAAACGTTCATTGCATTCTCTGCAGTTTTCAACCGATTTGAATTGCTTAAATGTTTCAGAACACAATTATCTTTAATCCTTTTCTTGTTCTTAGTTCTGGGATTTCGTTTAAGAGACCCGATTTTTTCGAAATTCTTTTAAAAATTTTCGATAGAGAATTTACTTAGCAATTTTAGCCAAATCGCCTGCCTAAGCTTAATTATTTCACTGTCTACTTTTTGAATGTTCGACGGTTTCTAATCTTGACAGTTTTTGCTTGGTGAAATAGAAAAGTATAAACTTTTGACAACATACCCCACCATTATTGACCATTTTTACCAAGATTGTCAAGAAGTTTGTAACACCCAGAAGGAAACGTCGAAGACACCATAAAATATAAGTATAGCCCCTCACTTTTTGAGATATTGATCTGAACTTTTGTACACGTCCTTTTCTCCCCAAGAAGCTGCTTATTTGTCGGAATCGGAGCACTATAGCATATAGCTGCCATACTGAACTTCGGAACGATTGGAATCAAGTGCTTGTCTGGAAAACTTTTTTATTAGACAAGATATCTTCACGAAATTTGGCATGGATTATTGTTGAAGGCAACGAAACAATATCCGAATAAATTGTTTAGATCAAACCACTATATCGAATAGCTGCCATACAAACTGACCAAGATCAAATTATTTTAATACCCTTTTATGCCATAAGAAATGCACCTGTGAAGGGTATTGCAGCTTCGTTGTAGCGAAAAGTTACGTTGTTTGGTTTTTTTTTTGGAAATCCAGCGTAATAGTCGATGAAAGTCGATATCGATTGATGTTGGCTTACTATATCTGCCGCAAATGCTTGCGATTTCCTTGAAACGATGCACCTTGTATGCCAGCTGTTAGGCAGTTCTCTAAATCGGCTTAGTTGTCGATCTAAAATACGAACTCTATGATTGAAAAAAGGCACAAGTTTCATAATTTTTGTAGTCCGTCTATACTTACATTCATATACTTTACATATTGTAAAATTTATTGGACTCTCCACTTTTTCTATTAATCGAAAAATAACCAATTCAATTTTCTATATTTTCATATTGTTTATTTAACTGTCCATACTTATTTATCATATTCCTGCAAACACACAATTTTTCTTGCCAACAGATCTATTATTGTTATCATTATATTTGCAAGAACGCCGAAAAAATTATAGCTCCCTGGGCACAATATTAGTCAATGGACACCACACACACACCCTCAAACGAAGGCTATTATTCAACGCTTATATATACATATATATGGTTGTATGTGTTTGTGTGTGCAGTCATGGTCAGTCATATGTCCTGCCATTATCCTTCGGGGCTTTTTGGTCATCTTTGCTTTATTTGCTAATGTTGCTGTTAGATTTCAAGTATATTTGTTAGTTATATTGCTACAGCTGTTATTTTTGTATATGTTGTTGTTTTTGTTATTTATTGCATGCGTGGTTGTTGTAGTCTTCATCATATATTACATTTTGTGTCTCATTTTGCATCATCCCACTTTGCGAGTTAACACTTATGTACATATGAAGTTCATTTTCGGTTATGATGAAATCAAAACATGCAACCTCATGCAACAAATTTTCCACACTTGCCACATTTCTACATAAATACGTAAGTGTGTTTCAGCACACCCATACATGTTTGCTGTAAGAGTTCTTTATTCCACTTCATGTTGCAAGTTTTCTACTGCAGATTGCAGGCGTAGATAAAGGCGAAGACAAGCCGAGATATGCCATTACCGTTATGATAGTTTAGAGTGATTCGTTAAAAAAAAAAGCTGACCAGATGATTGAGCTATTCATGCAGCAGTGGTTGGATATTGAACACATCCTCTCGCTGATAACGTTGATGTATCATCACTATATGAAAACTCTCCAACTATCCAACCGACCATGTTAGCTGAAAAGTTTTGCACTTTACTGGTGCTTTTTTCCAATTAAAAATGAATTGTTTTCTTACGTCTTGTCTGTTCGGAAATGTTTATTTAGGACTATGCTAGCTGACGCTCTGGGAACTCTCGAAGTGTGAGTTTGGTGGCAGTAAAAGGTTATTTTGGACAGCTGTGAATTTACTCATCTGTAAGTGTGGTCATCCAACTCCTGCTGCTGCTATCAGCCAACATTAGGCTCTGTGCTGACCGTGGTGGAGCGGTGGACGTTCACCAAAGGTGTGTAGCGCTTTGTTTCGATTCGAAATTGAGTGGCAAGTATTTCTACTTTAAGATAAAACTCGTAAAGAAGTTTGAAGTATTCTTACTGCTATTGTTGACAGATGGTAATGGATGATATGTATGATGTATGTATATGTTAAGAAAATATTTGACTTTATGACCAAATTATGTTTACAGGTGTGATATAATCAACAATTAAGAGGTATGTGGAGGAATTGCAAAAATAATTTGGTGTTGGATGCAATAATTTAGAAAAACTATTTTCTGGAAGAACTGAAAAATCAAGGACTGTCATATCAACGGTTCTTTAGTAATATTTTATGCTAAAACGGGAAAAAACGTGAATTTCTGTTGCACCGCAGCTATAATAAGCTTCATAAATACAACAGATTCCTTACAAGAACTTCATTCCGATCATCGGTTTGTATGACAGCTATATGCTATAGTAATTCGCGCGGAACAATTTTTCCGGAGATTACACCATTTCCTTAGACAATAACCCATGAAAAATTTGAAGAAATCTAGTCAAATGAAAAAGCTTTTCATACAGGCACTTGATTCTGATCGTTCAGTTTGTATGTAAGCTATATTCTTTAGTGGAGATTCTGACAAAGAGTAGCTTCTTAAAACGAGAAAGCCTTGCTCAAAATTTCGCCTATATATAGACGGACGGCCATGGCTAAATCGACTCAGCTCGTCATGCTGCTCATTTATGGTATGTGTATACGTATGCATATATTTTATACGGTCTCCGACGTTTTCTTCTGGTGTTACCAACATTGTAGCAAATTTAATATACCCTGTTTAGGGTATAAAAACCATAGCAGTGACATAATCCATTAATTTAAAAGTATTCTGAATTTCGAAAAAAGTCATTCATCATGCGAATTTTAAAGAATTTTTAAATTTTTTCAACATTTTGATCAACTTTTAACTTCAGGAGATAAGATTTGTGACCCCTCTTAAACACACAATCTACATTATATTTTCAAGTATTGGTCAACGCATGCATAACAACGATTGATCCATAAAAAAAGTCCTGTCCATTGGTAGTAAAAAAGCTGTTTTATTATTTGAGGGTTCAAAAATTGTCCCTTTAGTTCTCTCGTATAAACGTATTTATAAAATCAATACACAAAAATACTCTGACATTTAAGAACAAATCTATTAGATAAAACTTATCAATTAAATCCCTGCTGTTCAACCGACGCGAGAAGCACAATAGTCATACGAGCAGAGTTTCGCGAGACATGAGTTAAGTCGTCACCAACGTTGAAAGATTTTAGCAGAAACCTTTACTCGATAGATTTCTAAACCTACTTTGAGTAGGCAACGGTAACTGTATAAAATAATGCGACACGCAAAAGTATATAACATTTTCCTCTCTCAGCTTTAGAGCCCTCGGATTCACAAAAATATCAAGGTATTAACACCATAGAAATCCCAAAATTATAGCTTTCAGGTATAAGTAAAGATGGTCGCGGTGCATACCTCAAAAATTAATCAATCAATCAATCATAAGTAAAGATGATACACTGCTTTAACCTCAAGCTCTTCGCATACTACTTATACTACTATAATTATAAATATATAATTCGATTAATACTGAAATATATAGTTCAAAATGAACACCAGGAATAATTAAACCCCACTAGCCAATATAAGGCATATAAGCGTGGCTTACATGGCGCCGAACTACTCGAAGTTGCTACAGATATTGCTGTATCAGGTCTCTCATATACAACACCGCCATGAATATTTACACACATAATATCACGATATGCAGGATATGGATTCGGTTGTGGATAGAAGCTAATTTGAGAACCTGCACCAGTATAAAGGATGACTATATAACTTTGCTGGTTTTGTTGCTGTTGCTGCTGCGGTTGAACCGTAGTCGATGGATAAGTTGATACTAATGGTGGAACTGAGGCATTTGTGTATTAGATATTATACACTTCATATGGAACTGGACGATAGCTCCACGCGGTATTGCAGCCACCATAGGCGGGACAGTTTTGATAAGCAATGGATAAACAGGACCTGCATATATCGGCGCACTTGGATCTGGTTGGCTGGTCCAACGCTGTCGGATTTTTTGGAAAAGTCGCCGATTAGAGAAAATGATTTACTCTTTAGTGGCGCCTCAGTTGGCTCGTCAGAACCCCTTGTTGTTTCAGCCGCTGCTTTGATAATAGATGATATCCAAATATATTTATAACAAAATTAACTGTGAAGATGAACATATAAATTCGATTTTATAAAAAATTATGGTTTTTATATTTAACCAGTAATGTTAGGTCCTCATTTTGAATACCTAACATCTTTATGACTATGAATTATTTAATGTCATCTTTAATGCCACACAGCAACCAGTGTATTAGCAAGTGGAAAAGCAATAAGCCCAATTATCTTTAAATCTTTAAATAGCTTTATTTAACAATTAATTACAAAAATAAATATTTTAAGCAAAAAAACTAAAACGAGATATTAGTTAATAAAACTTAACGACGTTTCAATGCGCCAAACCCTCCGAAACTATGTTTGCCAAAGCCACCAAAACCGTGTCCACCGAAACCACCTAGGCTTCCCAAACCACTGCCATAGCCGCCACCGAAGCTTGAGGCCGATGCAGATGCGCTGGCAAAGCTGCCGCCACCGCCATAACCGCCGTAACTACCTTCCCAACCACCACCGCTGGGCCAGATGGGCTGCGGTACTGGCACTGGTACATGCACTACTTTCGTAATAGGCACAGGAACAGGTTGTGGTATCGAAACTGGCACAGCTACTGGAACGGGTGCCACTTGATAATTATTTACAATGCTACTGGTGGCATAAGCACCACTATAACCACCACCGAAACCGCCGCCAAAGCCACCGAACTTCTTGAAATGTCCCCTTGTGGGTGTAGCAAACAAGCCCAAAAAGAACAATGCGGCAAAACCGGAGATTTTCTGCGGAAGATGAAGAGATTAATCATATCAAAAACATGTAAAAACGTTGCTTTTGATCGGTTGGTTTTTTGGCAGCTATAGGTTATAATGATCCGTTCTGAACAGTTTCTTAAGAGATTGAACCGAATACCCCATGCCAAATTTCTTAAAATATCTCATCAAATGAAAAAATTTCCATACAAGCACTTGAATGCTAACGTTCAGTTTGTATGACAGCTATACACTATAATGGTCCGATCTGACAACAAACCGACAAATGAGCAGCTTCTTAGGGAGAAAAGGACGTGGCGAAATTTCAGATCGATATCTCAAAAACTGAGAGACTAGTTGGCATATATACAGACAGACAGACGGACAAAGCTAAATCAACTCAGCTCATCATGCAGATCACTTACATATACATATATATATAAATATATTTAGTAGAGTATCCGACTTTTCCTTCTGGGTGTTACAAACTTCGTTATAAATGTAATATACCCTTCAGGGTATAATTAGTTTTTCTGCAATTAGGGAGTGGGTCTCGAAGTTTTCGTACGAGTTTTCATTCACTTTTGAAAATAATTGGCAAAACTGAGACGCAAAAACATACTGTTAATCAATGGATATCTGAAGTTTGCCGCTTTGCAAGGAGAAGCCAACTTTCCAATGGTCGAAATCATAAACCAAATCTGATCATATGAAGCTAAACTGAACGGAACATATTAAGCGCATAGACAAAGCTCATTGAAATTTGAAAATCTGTTAAAGTAACTCATCTTAGTTGTGTCACTGATTATATATAAATACTCAATAAAATACTTAGCTCAAAAGTTAAAATGCCATATCGAGACCCAGGAACAGGCTTTGGGTACTCCACGAAATTCGGCGAACTCATAAGACTGCATTAACAGTATGTTTTCTCAGAGTAGAATCTCACTTAATTAAAGAACTGTATGTATGACATATGACCGAGACTTGCAGAAAGGGAAACGTTAAGAAACAATTTTTTTTTGCGAACAGTGAATATTAGTTTAGTGTTCTGTTGGAGGGACTAGAAATCAAAACATTTAGCCTGCGGAGATTTGAGGTTCAGAATGGATGTTCTATGTATTTATGTTATAGTCACTATGTACGGTTTACATTAAGATTTTTTGAGTTTTTTCTACACTAGAACATTTCTTCCGTCATTTCTTTGTCCAACACTAACCGACTGTGCAATTTTTTTATAGAAATTGAATTATGCTTTCAAATCAAAATTCTAGAAACCGAAGAACTTGCACTTTTTATAATGTATAATTATTTTTTCATAGAATAAATATCGCGTATATATAAATTCCTTGAAAATTCTTGTGATAGCACTGCTCGAAGACTTGACAACTAAAATCGAGCTCAATGTTTTCATTGAGATTATCAACCAGTCTTAAAATCGAACAGTTCAATGCACAACAAAGCATATCATTTACCACATTAAAGGTCAACTTACGAAATTGCTCATGATTAATTAAGTAACACACAAAACTACTTCACGATCTACCAAAATGATAACTAAACAGCATACAAAATGCGGAGGGACTTTTATAAGCGTTGAAGCTGATGCTGCTAGCATAAGCGTAGGGAAATTCCAAAATCAGTTAAAGCCAAAAAAAAATTTCTTGTTTTTTTAACCAAAAACCAACCATCATGATGTCTGTAATATTGAACGGAGCTTGTATAGGTCTCGTACAAAAGTGCAGAGCTTCGAGTAAACATTTTCAAGGCATTTACAAGTATTTAATTAAAAAGAAGATCGATAAATGTGCATGAAAAGAAATATGAAAACACATTATACATAACTATTTTATAAATATACTAAATTATGCATGTATGTAAGTGCGCTTATTATACAAAATTTTACAAGCAAAATTCGTTCGCTAGCAGATCACGTGTAGATCAATGAAATATATTGGAAATGATGGGCCCGCTTCGATCTGCGGCAGCAGCGCTCATTTGCATACAATTTCGTATTAATTGATTTGCTTTTCGGCATTGTTTATATTTTTATTTATACTTTAAAGAACGCACAAGTTGATTGCTCTGAGAGTTGACTGGTGGCATTAAATGTTGTACCAAAGCGAAATGCCCGAAAACGTCAAATAAAAAGTTCAAGTCGCGAGTTTAAGGTCAGTATTGCAGTTAGAATTAGAATGCTATATTTATATTTATGCAAATTTAGCGGCTTGCCAAAATTTGCAAAACAAACTACAAATATTAATAACAATTGTACTTCCCGTCTTGTCAAGATTAGTTGGAAGTAGTTTTCTGCGTAGGCGTTACATAATAGTAAAAGCAACTAAGATTTTAGTATATAAACTTAGCTGTTGGCATACGAGATATGCATAAACAGTTATCTAACGGTGAAGTATTCATACAAAGTTTGATTACGGAGCAAAAATTAGTCAAAAGCAAAAACTTATAACGTTAAGATGAGATCCTTTGTAAGTAACTAGGATATTATTCTCATTATTTATATATGTATGTAATTCTGACTTAGCCAGAAGAATTGCACAAAAAAAAACACTATAATGTCAACTTTTTAATTTACCACATTTCAAGACCCTCACAACGCTACTTTTGGCGCTCACCTGCATGTCTACGCGTGCACAATTTAGTTTTCCTGGAACGCAACAGGCGATTGATGGCAGCAGCCGTTACCCCAGAAATCCAGCACAACAATCAGCAAACGGCATATCTAACCCTAATAGTATTGACAACCTTGGCAGCCGTTATCCAACGCAAACTGCACTGGGTAATGCAGGTTTCGGCGCTGGCAGTAGCAGCTTACCTGGGCAATCGGGTATTAGTGCACCGGCACCAAGCGCCGCTAATGGCAACCCTAACAACCGTATATTGGGTCTACTTGGCGGCGGTGGTGGTGGTGGTCTGTTTGGCAATCTTATTGGCGCTTTAACGGGTAGAAATCGTCCAGCTGAAGCTGGTGGTAGTGCTGGTGGTTTTGGCGGTGGCGCTTATCCATATCCAGTACCTGTTTCATATCCCGGATATTCACCTTACGGTCCACCATCGCCTTATGGTGGTGCTTTTGGTTATCCTGGTTTCGGTGGTGGTTATTATGGTTAAATAATAGTCGGAAGCAACAACTTCGTTGTGATTTGTGCATTCGTTATATTAACTAAAAGTATTAATATTTGTTATTTATTACATTTTAATCTTTTATAACTGTTATCTTAAGGAAATAAATTGTTTTTGTAACTTAACTGAATCATTTGCCATTTTACTGTTTTACTCGTTGCTAAAAAGTTGTCTAATTACCCATTAAAGTGGCATAAACGCTTACTATTCCCTCTCTATGCCATTATGCTCCTCTAACTGGTTTATAACCGCTATTTTTTGGTTCAAAGCTTTCTGAAATTTGTCGAATCGAAAAAAGCTTCAAAGCGATTTTTTTCCCAATGATGTAAATGAGTTTGAAATCATTTAAATTATATTTTGTTTACCAAACGAGTCAAAAGATTTAAGTAAATTTCATAATTACTTTAATGTATGGACAACTGCAATTATATTTGAACAATCTGCCTATGTCTAGTACCATGCTGAAATTAAATTTTCGATTCCAATAGTTATTAATAAACAGTTCAAAGCTTAAGGCGTCAACCTGTATCAACCATTTATACGCAAATTATCAACTCTTACTGGTAGTTGATTACCGATTGATTATAAAAAAATGCTTTTATTTATATTGTAAGTGTTTTTATATATACGTGTAGTAATAAATATCGTATTTACATTACAGCAAAGTTTAATATTACCTTTATACCTTAAAATTTTTCTTGCTTCATATATTACTATGCAATGATAAATTTTGATAATTATGGATCTATATATTTCCGGTTTATTTTTTAAATGTTTGACATTACTATCACTACCGCCTTGATATTACTGAAATTTGTAAAAACAACATCAATTAGTTAAAAAAAAACATATGTAACGGGGGGTATTTAAAATTTTACCACTTTTTTCTAAATACTCAGAGCGTTCTGATCCAAAACTGCTTGATTTTCACCATCAAATATATGGATGGTGCTTCAAGTTATCTCTCGAAAATTATTAAAAGTGAATTAGATTGTGATTACTTTGTAAATATTGAAAAATTAAATTCTTAAATAGCATTTATAATTTTTTATTAATCAACAGCTTTAATAAAACGATTACGTTCTTATCTACGTTTAGGATTACTATTTTTTAACATATACTCCACTTTTTACTAACTTTACGATTTTCATTTAATAATACAATTTATTTTTAATTTAAAATTATTATTTTCTCCAAATATAGTGGAAAAAATAAAAAACAATTTATACTGGAGATGCGGGGCATCGATCCCCGTACCTCTCACATGCTAAGCGAGCGCTCTACCATCTGAGCTACATCCCCACATAATATAAATTTGACTAATGTTGTACTTTAATTAAAGCAATATTAAGGCCAAGCAACATGAACAGTTTGAAAACTTAAGTAGCACTGAAATAAAGATCTTGAGTACCTCTGAAATATACAACATGTACTCATTCAATCAACTAAATACCAACTAAATTTAATATGGCTGAAATAGAGGAAATTGAAAAATATTTTGCAAGAAATTAATTGTCTCAATCAGTAATTTTTCATTTATGCTTTTCATAAATTTTGAAACGAGTTTTTCTTAAAACTACATTTTGGCGTCCACGATTTCTGAAAAACCGTTCCATCGATTGCATTAAAAATTTAATGGTAGATTCACCACGCATGTGGCGTGAAATAGAATTTTGGGATTGAACTGTTTTTTTTTTCATAAAATTCATGAAATTTTGAATTTTAATGTTTAAAAGCATTTAAATTACAGATTAAAATGCAATTTTTTTTTTTGATTTTAGGTTAGCTAGTCTGTTGAAATCATGGACGCCGTTTGTCTACCTTTTTTCAACATGGGTGCCATTGGACCGATAAATGTCGCAATTAGCAAAATATTTTTAATTAAAAAATGTTTCTTTTAAATTAAAGCTAAAGGCTTTATAAATATATAGTAAACATTTGGAAGCTCTGTGTTTTTTCATTTCCACCGAATGACCCCCTTAAGCAATAAATAATGCATATTTATATAAGTACTGTGTACATAATTAGCTTTGTAAACAGGTTTTTGTACACAAACCACTCGACAGATTTTTGTAACCTGCGACCAATTTTTTCTTGGAGATTATATGAGCTTTCTTTTAAAAAAAATTATATGTAAAACAACAACAAAGTTATCGGGTTGACTTCGCACAAAAGAGTTTGCGGATACCTCAATAAAATGGTATAGCCGTTCAAGTTTTGTTTTGCATATTTTAGATCGGTTTTATTATTGTGAATCGTTCAAATGACAAATGAAAATGTCAATTTAATTTTTTTTTTGTATTTTAAAACTTATAACTTACAATCAATTATAGTTATTTATAGAAAACAAAAACAAAGGGTTTCATCAACGTTTTTTAGCGCGAAAGAAAGAATTTCTTCATCAAGAAAGAATCATAACACTATTGTGGATGCGTCAGAAAACATGTTAGTGCAGGGTTGCAATAATCGAAGATTCCCACACAAAAGGCTTTGGAAAACAAATGTTTTCTAAATTAAATGTAACTATTTTTGTGTCAACTTGTGTACGCCAATGTCGACGAAATTTGAGCAGCTCGTACATTTCGTCATCAACCACTTAAACCAGTTTTTTACACCTTCTTTCACATGATGATTCACACGCAACTCTACAGATTACTGACCTTGCACATGATTTTGTGTTTATTGGATTTTTGTATAAAATTACGTATTTTTATTTTATTTTTTTTCCTCCATGTTATTTACTTCAAAAATTTTCGTGTTATTGCTAAGTATTTAATATAATATTTTATGAATAAATAAATACAGCTTAAAATTCACAAAATGTATATACATATGTTTTTGTATATCATTTATATGGCGGTAAAATACCCAGCGAATTGTACGGATAATAACCGCTGTAGTGACCGTTAGCCAGATAGGCAGGCATGACATTCATGCCGCCACCAAAAGCCGCGCCTATACTTGTATGCAGTGCACCAATGATCGGACGATGAGTGCTGTAAGTAATGGGAGCAAGGTTGGCATTGTTAGACATGCCGCCTCCATATGTTCTTGTCATGCCAAAATTATTGTAACTTTGCAGTGCATTAAAGGGTGAAAAGTTAGCATAACCGGAGTACCCATTATCGCCACCGTATCTACCAAGAGATTGCGTTTGATAGTTGAGCATTGTTGTAGGCGCACTATACTGATTAAATGACTGATAGCCATTGTTGTTGGTGGGCTGAACACTAACATAGTTGTTGTGGTAAGGATATGCGATATTATTGTCGGCGCTGCCCATATTACTATAGGGTGGCTGCGTGAAATCACCTATATAAATACGATTTTCTGCTTCCATGCGTTCTGCATTTTGTCCGTAGATGGAGACTAGTGTTGTGAACAAAAACTAAGATATTGGATTATTTTTTTATTATTGTATATGTGAATTTTTATTTATTTCGTTTTGAGGAAAACTTACCATAAATATATGTAGCATTTTTGTAGTTAATTTTCAGTTTTTTATCTCGAAATTGTTATTTATATTTATATTTTTATTATTTAAAAAAATATTTGTATTAAAAAGTTATGCCGTTATAGATTTTTGTTTTAAGCTTTTTTATTAAAGTAAAAAAGAAAAATATAATAGTTTTTTTTAGCTTTTATTAATTTTATATGTTAGATAAACTTTATTTTTACTATTTATATACGTACATAATATATTTAATAAATTTCTAGTTATTTTATTTTCAATGTCATATAAATCAAGTACTAAAATTTTTAATTTTTTTTGTGTTAACCCCCAATTTGTTAACTAAAATAATTGGAGACAAACAATACCGATAATTTATGATAATAATATCTTGTATAATACATAATTGCCACATATTTTTTCTGTGAAAGTATAGAATCTAAACACTTTCAGCAATTCTATTAGTCGATATTTATTGACAAAAGCTTTCAATATAATTTAATATTATATATGTATATATTTACTATATAAGCTTTTATTAATTATAATTATTATAATGTTTTTTTGTTTATTATTTGGTTTATAATTTGTTTTATTATTTAATTTATTTTGTCTGCAAACACTTTTTTTTACGGTTGGTTTTATTAAAAACACTTTTGAGACCAATTAATAATTATTAAATCTTCACATGTCGACAGTGAAATGCATATTACTTTTGCTCAAAGACAAATCCTTACTTTTATAGCAATGATTAAAAATTTGTACACCTAATTTCCATTTGAGCGACTTTTGGGCCGTGTTTAGCATAAAACAAAATATTTTCATTTGGCTAAAACCTCCCAGTTAGTAAATTGTCTTAACAACAATAACAGATATATAATATATATGCATATTAATTATGTATAATTACTATTGCTATAATACTATAATCCCCAAAACTATTTGGCATTTTTACATAATTTTTTAATTTCATATAATATTGGAGACATAACCTGTCTTTCTTTCTCATGCAATATTTGCTTTATTATCGTAGCTCAGCTTATTTTGTTACACATCGTTGGTTGTTAATTGAACATACTCAGCCATACAAGTGACTTTTTTGAACTACAAAAACTATTAAATTTAGAAAATATATGAATAAAATGTATATAAATATATACATTTATATTTTTGCATATACTACCTATTACCACAAATAAATCAAAATATATTAATTTGTGTATTTTTATTCTAAATGAATCCATTTATATAAGCGTTTGTTTTCTCATTCTAATATATCCATCATTTTTTGTACGTTTATTGTTTTTAATCTCTGCATTCTAATTTGCATGTTCGCCTTTTATTTTGAGTGCTTAGCAAATTTACACTGAAAAGGCCTTGAAAGTTTATTTACCTCTATATAAAATTTTTGTTGTATTTACTGTTATAGTATATACACAAAAATTTACTAAAACTATTTTACATAGTTAAAAGACAGTTTACCTTAAGAGTAAGAGTAATATTATGTATAATTACTATTGCTATAATATCGGGTTTTCCAATAGGGTTGATATGATTCTTAAGTGTCGTTTCGGCCATTTTTAATTTGTTATGATCTGTAATTTTTTCATTGTATTCAGTAATATTTACAATTTAATCATGGCAAGATATACGCAAGAACAACGTTTACAAATTATTCAATTTTATTATCAAAATAATTGTTCTCCAAATGCAACTTTTCGTAAGCTTTTGCCATTTTTTGTATGGCTCACTTTCATCTGAGTGGTGCGGTAAATAAAGAAAACTGTCGATTCTGGTGGAATCATCGGTCCTAACTTCCATTTAATTGCAAGAAGTTGATCTTGACTCCATCTGGTTCCAACAAGAACGGAGTTACATGCTACAGCACGTGCAACAGTCGAATTATTGCGTGAAAAGTTTGGAGATTCGATAATTTCAAGAAATTGTGACATTGAATGGACGCCAAGAAGTTGTGATTTAACACCATTAGACTACTTCTTCTGGGATTTTTTGAATTCATTGGTCTTTAGCAATAAACCAGACTCTCTTCAAGTTGTAGAAGTCAATATTGAACGTGCTTTTTATGACATATGACTTGATAAAGTGGGAAAAGTACTCGAAAATTGGGTTCATCGAATTCGTTCTTGCAAAAGAAGTCGTGGAGGCCATTTGAATGATGGTTATATTCAGAACTTTGTTTGTATTTTATGTATCTGTTGTACTTCACATTAAATAAAAAGCATTTAAATTTCCTTAACAGATAGTGTGTTTTTTATTTTTACAAACAAAAAACGATATCACTCTTATTGCAAAACCCTTTATAACATCTTATACTTACTTCTATTTCTATGTGATTAAGATAGTTTTATACCAGTTGCTCTTCACCATTCTTTCATGTTTCAGCAGATGGGAGGCTTTTATTATAACACTGAATTGGATTTAGTGTCCACAAAACTTTAAAAATCAAAAGAACTTTAAATTCTTCTTGGTTAGTACTAATACCTCTCATAACAATTCCTAACTTCACATAATGAATGGAGAAGGGCTGAGGTTGTCAAATTTATAGCTCTTTAAAATAGGTAGATAAAGTGGAGTAGACTTTTTATAAAACCATATGAAATCACCATATTTATTTGTATTGCATTTGTACCAATACACATTATTTTTTATTCACAATAGAAGACACAGATGGTATGTTTGGTTTATCCTTTGAAAAATCTTTATTCGAGTGACCTTCTGATGTGCCGTTGAAGCGCCAATTCCTGTCGTATCTACCAATGCGTAATGAACAAACGGGGCATATTACATTAATTGAAAACGGTTTTGGTGCAGGTGCGGCGTGCAAGGCGGCGATGAGTGCGCAGACGATTGCGAGTTTCAGCAGCTGTATATTGGAAAATAAATAGTAAAGTGAAAGAGTGATGGTTTTATAGTTAGATTTCAAATAATCCTTTATTTTTTCTAATTTAGATTTCAAATCCACTTTATCACTTACATAACCAGCCATTTTCTATTTGAATTCCTTAATTCTTCTGCTAAGCTCTAGTAATGAATGTCTCAGTACAGTTAGTTGAGTACTAAGTTGTAATTGATGTGGAAACATTGCTTTTTATTTGCATTTAACTTGGATGCGTGCACGTTTTCGACTTTAGATAAGAAATTCGTAGAACCGCTAAACATTTTTATGACGAATAATACAAACATACATACATATACATATGCGCATTTTTTTGGCTATGTAGCTATATATTTTGTTTTGAATGGAAGCGTTCAGCGTCCAGATTAAGATCAGTCGTCATCAAAGCATTAACAAAACTAATACTATTCCGTACTTATCATGGTGATAGTGGTTGAATACCGAAATTTCGGATTCTGGACGCGACTTTGTGAGAATCAGCCGCAGCGCACGCAACGCTTTGCTATGCAGTCAAGGAGCGAAAAAATTTATTTCCTAGAATATCATAAAAATACATTATTTAGCAATAGCATTGCTGCTGTGATCATAATACATCAGCTTCCCTCACCCGCACCACTGCAGTCATATTTACGAATTTCTTATTTATTTATCAACATAAAGTTTTTGTTGCCGCAAATTGTATTAATTTATATTGTATTCTATTGGTTTTCACTTTTAGCATTACTCGCCAAGGGGCAAATCGTTAACACATACTTTTTAACCCAAACCCAAAGATTCCATAACTGTCGCACTCCGATAGTACAAGATAACTAGCGGATATGTACAGTTACGTTCAATTACCATAATCACAAATGTCATTTACCAAATTCAATACCAAAAGTCAATTAAACGTGGGAATACTGTAGTAACCAACTCTTACATACAACCACATATATTCAGTTCCGCGAAACTCATCTATCCTCAATAGTAACGTAATATTTCCTACCTAAAATACATGAACACATACATATACATACATATGAGGAAGCATACAGTAAAGTGTTTTCTCATGTGATAATAAATGTTTGACGGATGAAATTAAAAATAAGTTCACTGTCAATATTTACCACAAGGTCGTTATGTATTTAAATTCAGGGAAATTCCAAAAAATGAAAAATTTCGAATAATTCTAAATACCATTTAAAATTTTCGATCATAATTTTTTAAATATTCATATGTTTAGTTAAGAAAAGTAATGTTTGGGTTTTCCCAAAATTCAAATTCAAATGCCTGTATGCATACGTTGTGTGACTTAAAAATAGCGTGCGTAGCTCTAAAATTGGTGCGAATTTTCTAATGCCAATTTTATACACAATTCGACGAGTTCTGAGTTTGATGAGTGTTACCTGGCGTTAGTCAGGTAAAAGTCATAAGACCTCCCCAATGCGCAAAAGAATTTTGAATGATCGTAAAATAGAGTTGATCGATATAGTCACCGAGGATTTAAAGATATCAAAGGATTGGAGTGAATATAAGCTCATGTGCAAATTTTATGCCTAGCGAGTTTCTAACGACAGATGCACCATAAGACAGGTCAAGGACACCAATGACAATCTTAAAAATTGGGCTTCGAATTCACCGAATCACAGCGACTTTTTGCTGACCTTAAGATTTCAAGAGAACGCTCACAGAAAAGCGACAATGAATGATACTCGCTAAAGCTGAGGCCTGTTTTTAAGCAAAAGCCAAATCGCACACCAAGAAGAGTATCTAAAAGCTTTTAAGATCAACTGTAACTATGTTGAATAACAAAATTTAAATTAGTAAAAAACAAGAAAAAACGTTAACTTCGGTTGCGCCGAAGCTATAATACCCTTCACAAATACAAAGGCCCCTTACAAGAACTTAATTCCGAACGTTCAATTTGTATGGCAGCTATATGATATAGTGATCTGATCTGACCAATTTCTGTGGAGAATAATTTGTTGCCTTAAGCAATAACTCGTGCCTAATTTCGTGAAGATACCAAATAAAAAAAATTTCCATGCAAGCACTTTACTCCGATCGTTCAGTTAATATGGCAGCTATATACTATAGTCGTCCGATCTATACAATTTCTTCGGAGATTAGATTAATGCCTCAAATAATAATACATGCCAAATTTCATGAAGATACCTCGTCAAATGAAAGAGTTTTCCATAGAAAAACTTGATTCCGATTGTTCAGTTTGTATGGCAGCTATATGCTATAGTCATCCGATCTGAATAATTTCTTCGGAGATTAGATTAATGCCTCAAATAATAATACACGCCAAATTTCAAAAAGATATCTCGTCAAATGAAAGAGTTTTACATACAAACACTTGATTCCGATTGTTCAGTTTGTATGGCAGCTATATGCTATAGTGGTCCGATATCGGCCGTTCCGACAAATGAGCAGCTTCTTTGTTAGAAAAGGACATGTGCAAAATTTCAGATCGATATCTCAAAAACTGAGAGACTAGTTCGCGTATATACAGACGGACAGACGGACGGACAGACAGACGGACATGACTAAATCAACTCAGCTCGTCACGGTGATCATTTATATATATACTTTATATGGTCTCCGACGTTTCCTTCTGGGTGTTACAAACTTCGTGGCAAAATTAATATACCCTGTTCAGGGTATAAAAATGTATATTTTTTCATTAGAATTACTTAGTTATATAAAATGACGCTTCTTATTTAATTACGAAACAATCAATTCAAATACAAAATGTCTGATAATGTAAGTTATAAAGTGTTTGTGCTAAAAGATTCTTTGAAATCTAACTATAAAACCACCACAACGCAAAACAATCGACACCTTTCAGTAGGTAACCTTAGTTGCGCGCACGTGGCTTCCAATTATATTGTACACATTAATTAGGTGTAAAATCATCCTTTCATCCTTGCTAACTTCATCTAACAGCACTGCCACTATTTCTTTAATAAGTTTACTACTTTTGATGAAAACATATGACGGGTTCGGATTGTCAAATTTTTGCTAGAGCGCCGAAAAATGCGTCAGTGTACAGTACAGCCTTCAACGTCGTCCAACATGCAAACGCAACCACTCATTCACCCTGTTTTAAGTTTCCTCAATGAAAAAATTGAAGTGAAGATTAATTCAAACAGAGTGGATGCAATAATTTCAGTTCGCCACTATCTCAAGCAGCCAAATGCTTTTAAAAACGAAGACATCTTTAGATATAGAAACATATGTTTATGTAACGTATAGTTTTAGAACCGAATGTATCTTATACATTTATTTTTATCTCCATTACAGAGGAACGAAAATGATTCGATGTCTCTCTGCATCTGTTCCAACCGATACTATTGTGTACCAGTTACTTCTACAGGGTCGGAGAGAATGTTTAGCCTTGCTGGATTGCTAATATCAGATAGAAGAGCAGCACTTAAGGCTAAAAACGTCAATAAATTACTATTTTTATACAAAAATAAATGGATTATTGACGCATAAAGTACTCTTTGGAAGTCTTTTTAAGTATAAATTTATTGATCTCATTTTGCATATGTTTATTAAAAATTTTATCTTTTTCGACCTCAGCTCTGAGGGCGATTTATACAATAACATGAATAACTTTATTAACTATTTTGTGTTTTTTGTTATTCTTTTCTAGATATGGTAAACCTATTGATTATTTCATAAAAATAAAGAGTACAAAGCTATAGTATCTTAATTTAAGCGAAAAAACAAATTTCAAGGGAGAAAATTATCGATAGTATTTTTTTAAACTCTCGAAACTAGCGAGCAGCACTTTTAACGATAGTTTTGCAGCTCAAGAGCTCAAGTGCTATTTTACGACAACGGTGGCCATGACGATAATGGTGAGTGTGGTGGCTACGGTAACTACCCCGCATACAACAGCGGCTATGCAGGCGGTTATGGTGGATATGGAATTATGGTGGCTCCTATAGAATATCAGAGAGTTAGATAGATAGATAGATAGATAGCATAGTCACAGTGGTCACTACAATGATCGATTTAGTTTCGGAAATGTTCCATAGCCCCAAGTTAATAATAAATTAATATAGATGTACATATATAGTGTGTATGCATAAGTATGATGTTTTCATTTGGAGAAGCAAAAAAACTATCCAAACTATGTTAACCTTGCGGTGTCACAAATCATCACACCAAAAGCAATTTGCCGCTTAGCGCGTAATGCTGAAAGTGAAAACCGCACGACGAGAATAAGTCAAAAAGCAGCAGACGTCATCGAATGAAGGCAGCCGCTTCACAGCTTAGTTATCGGAAAGCTAGGCAAAAGGTTAATAAACTTAGCACTTTTGTGTTGATAAATAAATTTGAATTTAGTTGAAATTAAACGTAAATATGACTGCGGTGGTGCAGATGAGGGCGAAATATTTTGACCACGGCAGCAATGCTATTGCTAAAGTGAGTGATGATAATTTTGGTTGGGTTTTTATGACATGCTACAAAGCACATAATTTGTAATTTTTTTTCTTTCGCTTGACTGCGCAGCAAAGCGTTGCGTGCGCTGCGCTTCATTTTCACAAAGTCGCGTTGAGAATTCAAAATTCCAAATTTGGGTTTTTCTGGTTACCTCCATCACCACGAAGATCAGCACGGAATGATATTCGTATATGTACTATGTATTTAGTTATTTGTTTTTGTTAATGCTTTGCTGGCGACCGATGGTTTTGTGCTCTTGATCTTGACGCTGGACGCTTCCGTCAATGACAACACACAGAGCCACATACTGATATGTATGTATGTAATTTGTAGGTTTGTATTTTTCGTCATCAACATGTTTTGCGATTCTGTATTTTCGCTGTCTAAAGTCGATAGCAATACGCATGCGTGCGCGCATCCATGTTGTTTAAGTATAAAAAGCAATGTTCGCACTTCAATTGCAACTTAGTACTCAACTAACTGAACTGTGCAGCTCATTACTAGAACTTAGCAAGTAAAATCAAGGAATTCAAATAGAAAATGGCTAGTTATGTAAGTGATAAAGTGTTTTTTATTAAAGGACTCTTTGAAACTTAATCATAGAATCATCAAATCTGTCTTTACTTTTTTCCAATGAACAGCTGCTGAAACTCGCACTCGTCTGCACACTTATCGCCGCGTTGCATGCCGCACCTGCACCAAAACCTGCTGGCGCTCAAGCGCGCACTTTCGGCGGCTTGGGCTTGGGTGCGGCATTTGGTGTGGGTCTCGGTGGTTATGGTGGATACGGTGGCTACCCTGGCTACTACGGCGGCTATCCAGGCGGTTATGGCGGCTATTATGGTCGGCCAGGTTTCGGTGGCGGCTATTATCCCGGCTATGGTGGCGGTTATGGTGGTAATGGCAATTATGGTGGCTCCTACAGCCAATCACAAAGTCAATCGCATAGTCAAAGCGGTTACTACAATGGTGGCTATGGTGGTTTCGGAAATGGTTTCTTTGGTTAGGATTCCGATCAAGTTAATAGTGTGAATTTATAAGTTTAAATATTGTTAGTTTTAAATGCGATTTTTATAAAAAAAAAAAATTAAAACAAATAAAAAATAACAATAAATCATCTTTTCATCTGCTTGATTATTGACTGGGTGACTGTTGTCCAGAGACTTCGTCCGCGGAACCATATAGGTCTACAATCCGTTTGACCAAATTACTTTCTACGATCGCGATCTCAGTGTTCAAAACACTAAACATTCTTGATGAATCTGCTGCAGTTAAATATGAATTTTCGAATAGCCATTCATGGTATGGTATTTTATCCTAAGGCAGATACCCGAGGGGATCTGACCAGGCTGGAAAAAATATACATATTATGTTTGCTTCCTTATTTTTTGGCTTACATGCTCCTCAAAAAGGTATTGATCCATTGTTGGGACTGTAAGTCACACTGTTTTATAGGTTTATAGGGTTCTAAGTCCACACCTCGGTACGTCTAGAACTTTCCGTAATTCACGAATAATAGACCGCTTTCTCTATGTATTTCAATAATTCTTTTTATATAATTAATATTGCGTTCTCAAAGCCGATGCATCATAGGTCGGGAGTGGGCGGACAATGGCAGTAAGGTATTGGGTGACTCTTGGCCAATTGATTTACGAGGTGTGCTCAACAAAAAACGAGAATTTTTGGTTTTTGTAAAAAAAAATTTATTTATTCGTCTATACTAATGTTTTTGCCTTCCTCCTTCTCTGAATTATTGCACACGTTCTTTTTTCGCCAAGAAATTGCTCATTTGTCGGAACCACCGATATCGGAACACTATAGCATAAAGCTGCCATAGAAACTGAATGATCGGAATCAAGTACTTTCATGGAAACCTTTTTCATTTGACGAGATAGAAGTTGGTTGAAAAGTTTCGGCGCTCGAAATGAAAAAACACTGTTTTTGGTACAAAATGTATTTTTTTTTTATTCAATATAATCTCCCCTAACTTTAATACACTTATTCCAATGATCCTCCAATAGTTTTATGCCATCCCTATAATGACTTTCCGGAAGCTCTGCAAAATACCCGTCTACGGCTGTAATAGCTTCTTCATTCGACAAAAAACGCTTTCCACGAAGAAACTGTTTTAGGCTTAAGAGGTAGTAGCTGGTCGCTGGGAGCCAAATCTGGTGAATACGGTGGATGCTCAACCAATTCGTACTTTAATTCGATGAATTTTGTCATTGTTAAAACACTTTTGTGAGCTAGTGCATTGTCTTGATGAAAATGATTTTTTTGTGTTGTAAACCAGGTCTTTTCTCACGAATTTGTCATCCAGCTGATTCAAAAGACTGCAATAATATTCAGAGTTGATTATTTTACATTTTTGGAGATAATAAATCAACAAAACTCCTTTTGCATTCCAAAAAACTGAAGCCATAACCTTTTTTGCTGATCGTTGTAACTTCACCTGTTTTGGAGCTGAACAACCAGCTCCAGTCCACTATAAACGTTCTTATTTTAATTTAGGATTGTGGAGCTAGATCCAAGTCTCATCCATGGTTAAAAAACGACGCAAGAAATCGGGTTTATTCTGCCTAAAACGCTCCAAATTATGCACAAAATTTTGTTTTAGGTCCAGTTTTTGTTGAATTGTTAACGTGTGCGGCACTAAGATTCCAAACAGCTTTTTCATATGTAACTCTCCATGTAAAATATGAATTACTCGATAGAGAACGTTTTTCATGATCATATTTTCAACATAGTGGTGAATATTGTTATATAAAAGCTAAATATTATATATTTCAGTAAATAAAAAAGCTTGCAAAAGCTTTTCAAATTATGCATATTTTACTAGGTTTCCTGTTATTTTTCCACATGTAACAATTTCGTAATGGTTAAAAGAGTGCTATCATTGATTGTCTTCTTTTATGTCCATTAAATAGAAGAGTCTAGAAAATCTTCAGGTTTCTACGCTATGTTCTATCGGACGCTAGTTAGGACTTCAACCAGTCGTTAGAAAGTCAGATCGCTTTTTTTATAGTCATTTTTACAACTATATCTTCTGCTCTAATTTTGGGCGCTTCTTTTACAATATCTGAGTGGTAAAGATATTCGAGCTAAGCCTTCACATGTTTTGTATTAAAACCATGTAAGCCGCCTTACAACGAACTTTTCGCATATGAGTATTCGATATTGTATCGAGCCCATAAAATTTTTTTTATAAATATGCATTTTCCGCATATCCTTCTCAAATTTATGTTTATTTTAATACAGGTACTGCGTTAAAGCTATCGTATTCTGACGAAGCCAAAAAGAGCAATATGTTAATAGTTTTTTCAAAATTTTAATCCAACTCTGTCAATAAAAAGTACACAGTGCTCAGTAGTAACCACAAACGTTAGTTTTTTTTTTACCATATACAAAAACATTTTATTGGAGGAACATAGAATTATCGTACAACTAAGCCTAAAATAAATATAAAACTAAAAATTATGTATATATATTCGAGTACAACATCCTTAGCGCTTTCTGTGGCTTTTCCAACTTTTTTACTTTCCATAACTTAGCGACCTATAACCAGGATAAACCGGTTGAACATTGCCAGTTAGTTGTTGTATGATACCATTCACAGTGGTGGCTACACCGCCGACCAATTGGGCAGGTGTTACGGGAGCCTGAAATGATAAACTATACGTCACATTTCTGTGCAGAGAAATTGCATATTAACGAACTTACCGCCCCCGCTGAGTCATAGTAAACCCTGTTAGGTCGTCTTACCGGCGGTGGCCTGGCTGCGACTGGATTGTAAGCAGGATCAACTTCAGGATCATTAGCCAAATCGTTAGCCTCACCTGCGCCAGTATCGGCTTGAGGTCTTAGTAGGGATGGACGCGCTGTCGCCGCTAAAGCATTCTGCAATATGCCAGGAGCAAATAGCTGTAGGAAATTATTCAATCTATTGGGTGGCGCATAAGCGGCAGCAATCGGATCCGAAAGTAGACCACCGCCGCCAAAACCACCAGCACCAGCAAAAGCGCTAGCCAAACCACCAACACCGCCCAAACCGCCACCAAGTCCACCGCAACCACCACCACCATATATGGGCGGAGGATAACCACCGCCACCATAAATATTATACACATTCACATCCCAAAGTATACGTCCTTGCTCCGCTGGTGGAGGTGTCACTTCAACGCCCTGCGCGTCGCGTCCAAATGGCAGGCAGCGACGTTGCTTCTTACGTTTTAAATGCGATACGGTTTTTGTGTTCTCCTCATCAGCTTCTTGATTTCGAATACCAGCAAATTTCGCATTCTGCTCATCTGCTTTAGTTACGCGCGGTTTACTATTTGCGTTGGCGCTTGCATTCCGTTGCTTATTTGTTGTTGTGATGGAAGCGCTATCCGTAACACGCTTACTATCAGATGCGTACGCATCATATCTGTTGTAATTACTATTATACGGTTTATTGCTGTTGCTCGCATAAATGCTGCTGGTTGTGCTGCCAATGTCATTGTTGTTGCTAGCGCTTATAGCCGCTGCGGAGGCGGGCAGACGTGAGGAGGAATAGTAGCGTTGTGTTTTGCTAGCCCCACCGCTGTCGCCACTGCTGCTGCTGGTACCAGCGCTGACACTGACGCTATTGTAGATGCCTTTGTAGCTATCGGACAGCGCGCGTAGGCGTCGTTGTCGTAGCGCGTCATAATACTCGCGGTTATAATCCCGATAAGGCGAATAGCCGGCGCGCCGATAAGGATTCGCGCGATATGGTGATGTTGAGCCAGTTGAATACGAGTTTGCGGAATAATAGCTTTGTGGCGCGCAATCGCAGAGCATCAAGAACGTGAATAGCACGAGCGCACGCATAAATATTAACCGGTGTAACGTGAACATTTTGTTTTCTATTTTTTTAAAAGTACACACTTTACATTGACATTTTTCAAGAGTCCTTTTTGACTTCAGAGTTCTATCGGTTAGTTATTTTTAAATTTCACTTTTAATTCGTTCGTCCTTTTGCACATTTATTATTCTTTTCACGCTGTTTAAAATAGTTTTATATCACTACGTTCGTTTGTTGTCGTTCTTCTTTTGATTTACGTGTTTGTATCAACGCATGAAGTGTTCACGTCTCGTTTGCAATTTGCACTAAGCGCCCACCCGCAGCAACACGCTAACTTATCTAAAAAATTTTACTGCGCAAACGCGTAGGATTTCCCAAACAAACCCACACAGTCACCGTGTTATTTTTCTAAAAAAGCCGCAAACCCTGAATTAAATCAACTAGTCGTTCTGGCCATAGTTGCTGGCATACAGTTATTGCAAAATGCCCTTTTTTGCAGACACCATCATGAACAACAACCATACCAGCTTAGTTTGCAAATTTTTAATCGCCAAATTTCGTGTTTTCTTGTGTTTTTGTAATATGCTAATTTCAGCCCATTTGCTTGCTGATGTGCGTAGCAACGCGCACCCACGCACCGGCCATAGACACACAGCGGTTTGGCGGCTGCTCATCTGCGCATGCGCAACAGCCACAACCTGCCTCACTTTGTTAGCGCGTACTTCGTTGCTGCAAGAAACATTTGTGCAAGTAGCTTTAATGCGCTATTGTTTGTTGTAAAAACTTTTTGGCAACAATTTTTTCTTTTTTTTTTTTGCCTATTGACCGGCATCTGTTTAGTTTCTTTTTTTTTTTTTTTACTAATTTTCCATTTCGTCTAATTTATTGTAGTTTTATATTTGGTTTTTGTGTGTTTCTGCAACTCTGTCACTGATTTTTTGGACAGCCATTCACGTCTGCAATCGTAAAATAAAAGCTGTGTAAATTTGGCGATATTTTCGCTGTACTAAAACTAAAATCAGGTCAAGATCGCGCGCATAAAATTTGAAAATAATAAAGCAGAACTATGATAATGAGATCTAATGGCACTGTGTGCCCTACAAGCATTCATAGTTTATTTTTAGTTATTTATTATATATTTTTAGTTTATTTTAGTTCATTTTATTATGTGAATCAGAGTCAACCATTCATATGTAGTTTTATAATACTTTTGAAATGCCGCCGAATATGTAGCTCGTCCGAAAAACGTCGTCACTTCCGAAACCCACTCTAAAAGCCATGTAAAACTATTGTGGAAACAGCAAATATATGAATCATGGATTTGTGTTAAACCAGCTGGCCGCTAGAAACAACAAAAGAAGAGATTTGGAAGGGGAGGGAAAACCCTTTCCGAACGTTAGAAACCAAATGAATTTTCGACTTATTTGAAAATTCATTTGGTTTTGGTCAAGTTTTATTTGATTTCTACTTACTCTAAATTAGTTACATAAATAAGCAAACTTTTCTCTCCGTGCATCAACATTGAAGGAGATACGTTATAGGTACTTTCAAATACCTTGGAACCAGTAACAATACGGAAAACAACGGAGAACTCTAAACGTATATCTCCAGTTTTGAAAGCATTCAATGTGCTATCAAACGGTTATAGGCAGAGGGAGGCTCAACTCTATTCTGCTTTCGAAATACCTTTTAAAGTTTCATTCAAGAATAATAGACACGTTTGGGGCACCTTTGCCAACTAACTGACGAAATGTCTTACGAATTACGTATTATACTAAAATTTAGATTATTTTCAATATTTGACACTTCTAGAGAGAATAAAATAAGACAAATTGACCGATCAAACTCAAGTTCTTGTATGAAAAACTTTTTTAATTGACAGGGTGTCTTCAAGAGATTTGGCACAGATTATTATCTAACTACACTACACGGACCACCTTAGTATATAGCTGCCATTTAAACTGACCTATCAAAATCTTTTATGCTTTAAAACATTTTTTTGTAAAGTGTACTTTTTTTTGTGATTTTTTAATTGCATTCATACAAATGCACTTATGTGTGTTGGAATTTAAAAAACTGTAAATATGAGTAAAACTACGCACACTCATTTTATTTTTCAGTTACTAATTTGTTTTTTTTTTTTTGCAGCATTTATTTCGTGCATTTTTATATTCGTACTATCCCACTTGCACATGAAGTGTGAAATTTCGTTAAAAGTTTTAAGTTTAAAGTACGGACATCGCAACAAGGAACATTAATAACGTTGTTGTTTACATTTAGATACTAGAAACAGAAGACATACTGATATATGTATATGTTGAAATCAACACATTTCCAAATTTCTTAACAATTTCGATTTTAATAATAAAATATTTCAAATACATAGCTACAGCGGTTAACAAGCGTATTTTCGCGCATAACTTCTTATTTCATTTTATATTTAAATAGATTTTAGGCTTATTCTCAATGTGCATATATAAATTCGAAAGATTTCAATAGAATATAAAAGCTTAAAAGTAATAGTTGCAGAAAATAGCGAATAAAACGCATACAAAGCAAAGTTAAAATATATATGTATGTGTGTGTTTGCTTACAATTTCTAAAAAAAAAAATTTCTTCGCTAACTACACACATAGTAGCGTGAAACTTTAAACATTAGCTAAATACATAAGTAAATAATTTGTAAAATTGCTTTACATTTACCACTTTATGTGTGTATTTGTACATTATATGTATGCTGCATAAATTATTTTTAAAATAAATATAATTGTAAGCTAGCTATTAGACATTTATACATTTGAGAAAGTGACAATTGTTTATAAAGATATAATTTTTTTTTTTTGCTTGAAAATTGCAAGCACAGTGAGGAGTAACAATTTTTTCTCCCCTTTCGGTGCCATTGAAGTTAACTAATTCAATTGGCTTATTTAAAGCTTCATTATATGCTGATTTGCGCCTCTCATTTTGTTAAGTAATGCTACCGGCATACGTACTAGCATCACTGCGACCATTACAAACGATCGTTTCATTGGTTACAACATCCAATTCTACCAACTACGCTGCCATTTTCGGCTTATGCGCCTCCGCACGCTTACGTATGGCTTTCATGCGCTGTTTGCCATAGGAACGCATGAAGACCGCAAAGAATACAACCAATATACCGAAAATGCCCAGCACCGATATCTTGTGTTTGTAGATTAAACACGAAAGCAATATAGCAAATGCCTGAAATATACAAAAGAGAATAAATTAAATAATTTGTGTGTTGATACAGTTGTTTATATGTATGAACACTTAACCTATAGTCATGTGGATATAAGTTTTAGGTAGATCAAATAATAAACAATAGTAGCATAAATAGGTCATATATTAACATATTAGATAACTGAATACTCGTATTAATTAGTTTATCCATACGTATATTATTAAAGTTTTATATTTGTTTATTTTCGGCAATACGACACATAAGATGGCCTTAATATAAGTATTTGTTGCTATTTTATACGAAAATGTTTAATAAAAAAAAAAAAAAAATATCAACGTTCTTATTGCAGCAATAAAAAAAAGTATTGAAAAAAGAAAAGTATGCTGAAAATTTTATTTGGAGATTATAGCGTTGTCTTGGACAATAACCCATGCTAAATTTCGTACACATATCTCGTCGAATAAAAGTTTTCGATACAAGGACCAGATTTTGATCGGTCAGTTTGTATGACAGCTATATGCTATAGTGGTCTGATTTAAACAAATGAGCAGCACTTAGGAAAGAAAAGGAGGTGTGCAAAATTTCAGAATGAATTTTCAAAAACTAAAGAACTTGTGCCTCTTCAGAGTATAAATATAAATAAGTATACGTGTTGCTGAATTGTTTTTCTTCGATAAAATTTAATTTTAATTTTAATGTACATATGTATGTATTCATATATGTATATGTACATGTATATAGATTAGATTTATATGTGTATTATGCATGTACGATATATTGTTGACTTGGTAAGCGTGTCAGAAAAATATATATTTTATAACTTGCTTAAAAAGCCAACAAATTATAATTTTCAACTTTGCGTTTAAGCCCCAACTGTACAAATTAGCTCAATGTATATAACTTTGCTTGTTTGCATATTTGTCTTAACATATTTTTTGTCATTTTTTAATGGTACAAATGTACACTAACTCACCTGTCGTAATGTCATGATGATGGTAAATACGACTGCACCAAACACTGATATTGTATAAAAAATAAATAATTGACCCACAGCTGAGCACATGGATATTGTGAGAGCGTCAAGTATGAATTTTGGATGCTGTAATTGTTGTAAAATATTGCTTTTAAAAATTTATTATTATTTCTGACCAATTTTGAGCACTTACCTCGCTGGCAAACGCCAGTGAATCCATAAAACCGCCTTGTACCCATAGCGAAGTCGCTGTAAATATGGTGGAGAATAGATTCACACCAGCCATCATTTGCAGTGATGACATTTCATAGTGCTTGAATAGATCATCCTGCCAATTCGCTGTGAAGCTGTCACAAGTTAAGTACATAGTGAGTAGGAAAATGCCCGTAAATGTTGTCACATTGCTTGCCTTCGAGCCACTTGCCGAACCGGTCATAAAAAATATCATGCCTAATGATATCAATATAGCTGATACGTATTCATACCAATCGTATTTGTTTTTTGATATGATTTTACCCATTAACATGACAGGTATGATTTTACATGCTTTCGCCAGCACTTGCGTGGGAAAACTGACAAATTTGAGTGCTTCATATTGGAACCAAGCACTCATTATATTCGAGAAAGAGGCAAAGGAGTACTTATAGAGTGGTGTACAATGACGACCGGCTGGACGTTTAATTCGTAATGTGACCATAGCGCACGTAAAAGCCGATAAACGATTGCAAAAGACAAGAAATTGTGAGTCTTTAAAATGTGATGGCTGACCATCGGAATTGAAGTATTGTTGTGTCATGATTTTCTCCTGTAGCACACCCCATGTTAAGTAAGAGATCATAAGGCCACCAAAACACCAGCATAGCAGTAATGTCTCTTCAGATTTCGTGCGTTTTTGTGCGCCAGTAGATGCTGGCAATGGTTCCATTGGTTTGCGCTCCATGGGTTCGGAGTAGTCGAGTTCGGTGCCAGGATTACCGGTAATGCACATGCTGACCGCAGTGTAAATGCAAGTTTTCTCTGCTCGAATTTTAATAGAAAAACTTATTAAATATGTCTGTTAATATTTTTTGAGTGTCTTAACTTACCACTCTTCTCCAAGTATTTTGTGCGTCCAACATATTTATAAATAAGAAAACCAGGTACAAAAACACAACTATAGCCAAAACAGTTGGCCATCAGTTTCAACAACCAAGAATAGTCCTTATTTGAGTGGGATTCCACGAGCTGCGCGAGTGTTGCATGTGTATAGTAGCCGCCTAAAGAAAGGCGTAAAATATCTGAAAAGAAGTGTATCACCAGCAGCGCCGTAATAACGAAACCGCTACATGGTTACATGCAGAGAAAATAAATCCAAAGTTATTCAACGTTTTTACCAATATAAGTTATCAATCGTTACTCACCAAATTACTACATCTGGCACCATTTTCGCCATATTTTATGCTGCGCTCAGTAGTAATTTGTTAAAATCCCTTGTAAAATTTTGACACGTCAATGGTGTGCGCACAGTCTTTGCTTCAAAAGTTAATGCTGTATCTATAATTTTCGTTGGCATTCACACTTACAACTGATTTGTATGTCCTAACTATACAGTTGCTATTTCGTAACATAATCGCTGACTTTGAGATTTGCGGTTCAAAACGATCAGAGTGATTCTTGTTTGGCTGTAATGATTAAGCGGCCATTCGTCGTATTGGTGTATTATAATAAAAAGATGCCGCCGACGTTAATACCAATAGTTCTAAGATCACCTATACTCAACCATTCGCAAAAATCAACAGCTATCTTTGATATCCCAATGGGCAAGAGTTCATTGCCCTTATCACACAACTGGTTCCGCGAAAATGATAAATACGCAACGACTAACAATAATTAAAATATGTCAATACTATACTAGTATTTATTTGCCACAATAGTGTATCACCACATTAGAATTATAAATATTTATTACTGAAAATCTCAAGTAGCTACATTTAAGACCTCTCACGAACTCTGTATAGTAGTATTGTTGTTGCAAAAATAATCCAAATGTGTCTACCTGATGATATTACTGTTGTTGCTGCAAACGCAAACTTTGAAGTATACGCAATATTGCTGTGTAGAACGTTTTTAAGATGTGAGCGAGAGGGGAGCTGTAAAAATGTTTTGTTTTTTTATTTGATTTATTGGGGAAAACAGCTGTTTGTAAACATAACAACATGCAATATGCTTACAAGGTTGCATTTGATATATTAATTTTGATGGTAAATAGGTTTTTTAAATACCTTACAAGTATAAAGGAGATAAATATTGTAACGGTTTTCTTGATAAATCGTCTACCTTGTAACTTGTATTCGCTCACAGGATTGTTAAATAAAAGTCCAAATCTAATAACTATAGAAAGAATTATCTTAATTTCTAATTCCACCAACTTAACGCTTTACTACTTATTACCCGAATTTACAACATCCTACTTATATTTTAATAACTCTCTACACGGAAGCGCTCTAACTAGAACTGTGTCTGCTGCACTATCCGGCAGCCCTTATATAATAGATTTTTAAATAACATCGCCACTAGAACATTCTGGCAACTACGAATTCGTTGTTAGGTTGATTCTGGCAATTTATCATCGATTTGATATGGTTCTATCATCCGTGGTCATCACAATATTATATTAAAACCTTTTTTCTTTTACTTATTTATAATACATTATTTCTTTATATATGCTCTAAAATATTCGCAATTATTTTTATATGGTTAATTTAACCTTAGAGTGACGAGCAATAAGTGCCGTTTCACATGGGGACGCAAAAGAGTCTCATACCAGTTTATTGTTGGTGAGGGGACGACGAGGAAAGACGAAAGGACCGTGCCACTCGTGTTCGGGTGGCACGCTTTGTGTTCTTGTTCGTAACAGCTCGCTGCTACCCTTTTCAGCATTCCTTTTCACTTTCAAATCCTTTGAATGGTTGCAAGAGCGCTCGGTTTCAAATGAATTCGATCGCAAATTTGAGTTCTGTTATCTATTTTTGTATGTAATATGCAAATACGTATGCATAGAATAATAGAAATATTATGACAAATTGTAAATAAGGAGAAAATTAAGATTTAGATTATGGAGTAAAGAAATTATGAGTTTTTAATACTTAAAGATATTATAAATTTGGCTTTGAAAATATTAGTAGCGGATATTCAATACATTCTTGTGGATTAGGGAATTCCCGTCTTTAGTATTTTTTTGAAACTATTTAGCGGGTAGGTACTTGTATTATGCATATTGTTCTACCATATTCATGGTAATTCATTGCAAGCAAAATGTGTGACCATCATCTCAACATACAAATGAAATACGCAGCACGCAGTGTTGCGCAGGCGAACCGCACAAATATTTACGAACATTTTGTGAAAAGGAATGCAGAAAAACTAGACTCGAGTTGCTGGACTCTTTTTGACCGTGTGAATGCCCAGAGCGACACCAAAAGAAAATTTGAAAAACATCAGACTCTTTTGCATCCCAATGTGAAACGGCACTAACTTATATTTATATTTATGATTTATATCAGCTTAAGCAATGTACTTAACGGCTACATTCCATAAGTTTTGATTAAAAACACTTAAGGCCCAGAAAACAAAGAGTAAACCTCAATGGACGCTTTGCTTTTAGTGTTTCTCTCTAGCAAAAATTGCGAAGGTTGCTTGCTCGACCCTGACTTTCTTCACAAATTTGCAATACACTCACATTCTCATTTTTGGAACTTGAACGCCGACTTGATATCAATTTTTCCTCTCAAGTCGTGAGGCAAATTACATGCTGGGAATATTTCGTTATATTTATGTATTGATATAAAAATATAAGTACATATTATATTATTAATTTCGTGCAAAATTAAAAAAAAAAATGTAAGGTATTTAAATAAATTTAATAAGTGGTTTGTGTTATCAACTTGAAAGCAAATTATTGATCGTGTAACTACTGCGATAATATAAATAATATGCGCATAAAAGTTAGTGATCATTATTGAAGCTCTTATCTGAGCGAAATTTTTTCCAAGGAAATCAATTTTTATATCGTTTTTTTGATAGAATTTTCTACTGAATACCACCTAATATTTTGTCATATAAAAGGCTTTTAAATTATAGCTTGGCAACTCTCTGTGCTGAATCTATTTTTCGGTACTTGCTGGATATCTGTATAAAGTCGCCATTTTTTCTTGCGCACATTGTTAATCAGCCATTCTTGTGAAATCTATGCATAGAATAGAAATTTAATAGAAATAAAATAATTTTATGACTTAAAAATCATGCAAAACTAAGTATACATACACAATAAAAAATTCATATTTGTAAATTTACAACTGCATATAAAGAATCTCTTCGTAAGAGTTTGGCTTTCAGAGCCAGTGGAAATTTTTTTGCGGTGTCCACCGCAGTACATCAATCAAAGTGGAAGTAAAGAGAGATAATCAATAATAATTAAATTAGCGTACGTTTCGAAGGTAAGATTTATTAAATAGACGTTTGTAAAAATTTGTTTTAAATATTGATTGTATATGTATGTAGATATTGTGTGTACACGCCATTTTGTACATGATGGCCTTGAAGATAGGAACAATACATACTAAAATGTATACACACTAAGCCAGGGCAGTTTACGTCATCTAATATCTGTTAATTCCATTTTCATTTCAATTAAAATTTCCATTTTCATTGAAATATCTTAATATTTACCAGACAAAGATCTAGACTTTTTATTAATTTTTATATCAATGTAATGATATCTTTTATTATTTTATCCCAACCTAATGTATATATCTAGATAGAATAGTCATCTGCAATTACGGAAATATCTATTTTTAACTAAATGCATACATACAATTAAATTATATTTTTTTCGCTAACATTAGTACTGTTTTAAATTTATTAATGTAGGATAATGTAGGTAAAAAAATTTAAAAAAGCATTATAAAAATGGCAACAAAGTCGGGGTTTAACCCTTTAAAAGTATTTCACTAGTTAAAATTTAAAATTTTGTTACCTGATTTTCATCAATCACTGAGATCCTGTCTATAAATACTGAACATTTCTTTGATTTATTTCAGTTCCAAACAAATATTGCTACAGTTTACACTCAACGCGATACACATACGTTCCAGTGAATTAAAATAACTAAAATTACGTCAAAGTTATAAAGTAAACAATTTAAAAATTTACCTACAATAATGTCGGCATCAATAAGCAAAATTCATGTCACCAGTTCGACCGGTTTGTCTTTGAATGAACGTTTTACGGCAGTGCAGGATCGCCGTCGCGAAGTACCCGAACGCATTTTGCGTCCAACTCGCGACACATCTGTCGCCAATCGTCGTTTATTGCAGCAGCTAGCTAGACGACATAAAATGCAAGCAGCACTTAAATTGAAACGCGTACGTAAATGGTCAAAATTAATAGTCATTTGATGGGAACATTCAGCAAAGTGGTTGGCTAAAAAACACAATTTTACATTAAAAATATGAGAATAGAAAATGAATGGTTAATACACAGATGTGTTGTGATACACTATCGAAACTTCAAGAAATGTATAAAAAAGGAAACGTTGCAAATCAAATGCATTCCTAAAAGTGTATTTTTGACACCCAATTCTATACTAAGTTTGTGAGTAGCGCGCCGTTCGTTTCTGCATGTGGTTTTCAATATTTCTCGTAGGAAAAGGTGAATTACCTAGGCGAGCGGGTGCTAATATAGAATGCATCATGTGAACGTGTTTTGAGGGGAATGCATTTACGCAGTTATTGAAAACGACAGATTTGATTCCTGTTCATTTATCGCAAAAGGAAAACCGACATTTGATGAAGAAAAGGGAGTTCTATGATGTACCTATGTGTTACTGTAAGGACACTGGAAGGGAAGAATTTGTGCATTTATGGAGATATTAAAATGTATTTAATCAGTTTAAATGACTGATGGCAAATCATCCTCAAATGAATTGGATATTTGGAAGTACCCATATCAACTTCATCCTTTCTTTATACTGGCTTTGTGCAAATCTTTGTCAGTTGAGTCACTAGTGATTGTATATAAATAAGGAGACAAAAGACAAAGAAATCAGGACGTCATTTTAAAAACCTTTCGGGAATGTTTCATGCTGGTACTAAAACAACTACAAATAAATTCTGTTCCTGCAAGACTCTTCAACAACTATAAATAAATTCTGTTCCTGCAAGACCCTTCAAGGACTTGAGGTCACTTTAAATTACATGCTGGTGGATAACGAATAAATGCAATTAATTATTCAGCAAAATATTTTCGTCCTTTACTTCGGCAGCAATTTCGTTTTCTGACCAGAAATACTATTGTATTTTTTACTAACATAAACCAATCGTTTGGAATTTTTTCCTTTTTTGAACACAAACATTTCAATTAAGCTACTCTGACACATAATCAACCTCACACATCAACTTATTCTAATCAATTGTAGAATTGGGTGATAGAAGTTAAGTAAGCTACTCCACAATAATATATAGTGCTCGCTAAAACAAAACGTTAGCCAATAAACAGACAGCCAACCAATATTGCTCAATTAAAGTCATGTAGACGTAAATGGAAAAACACTAAACGAATCAACGTTTAATTTTGAAAATTTCTTCTAATTCACACCCTGTGTGGATCTTACAGAGAAGCATGCGTCCAATTGGAGGAAGTGTAGCTATGAGACGCGGCACGATCAAGGCCTTGCGTGTAGCAGCTAATGGAAAACCGATCCGTACCAACAGCCTGACCACAGTAGCAACGTAAGAATAAAATTTATATACATCATATATTATCTTCAACAAGACGTGCCACAGTAAGACTGTTGCATGTTAACTTGCCATACAACAAAAGGCATGAATCTAAATATTTTACAAAAAATAAAAGTATGGCAACTGCGCACCATACAAGAATTTTGTACAAAAGCTCCTATATGAATGTCATTGACTATATTCTACTTTCTTCAAACCCTCATCCAAAATACAGAATGGAAGCCGATTTGATTACGAACAATCAACGCAACTTAAACAGATCCCTACGTCGAGCGAATTCTGTTTCGAATCGTTTGGGCCGCCCACTAGTAGGCGGTGCTGCTCAGCGTATTGCCCAACGACGTTTACAACGTGCATTGCCCGGTGCAATCATACCGAATGAAATGCAAAGGCGTGGTCGCTCACGCAGTCGTTCAAGAGCGCCGATGGAGGTTATAAATTTGACCCGTAGTCGTTCACGCAGTCTCGGACGTTCTCTCCCAGCAGGCGTTCAATTGCGTGGTCGCTCCCGTTCACGTGTACGTTCACGCAGTCGTGTCAATGCTGTCGCCAGAACTAATATACCAGTAAAAGCCCGCTTGGGTGTTCGTCCTGGAGCTATTGCACGCCGTCGACGTAGCCAAAGTGCTGTACGCGGCGTTGCACAAGGACGCATACAACGTCGACGCAATTCAAATGTTGCTGCTGGAGTTGCTGGACGTACAACTAACGCTGGGCGCCAACGGGGAAGGTAAGACACAAGCAAATATTAAGAATCATAAGAATATCAGTATATAGTATTGAGATTATAACTTTTTACACATATATTAACAATAATTTTTTTTCTTCTTCAAGAATCATGACTAGAAACGCAAACGCTATAGCAAACGCAGCTGGTCGTTCACGCTCACGCACTCGTATTGGCGTACAGGCACGCGCTCAATCGCGTGCACGCTCACGTACTCGTGGGGGATCTGTTGTGGGTCAGCGCAATGTAGGATCGGTACAGGGTAGTCGCATACGTGGCCGCAGTCAACAACGGCGTGGGGGACGTGGTGCAATAGCACAAAGAAATGGTAAAACTAATGGTAATAAGAATGGACATCAACAACAGCAACAGCAGCGACGTGGTCGTAGCCGCAGCCGTGGTGGACGCGGTGGCCGTAATCAAGGTAAAAACTAACCAAGGCGTGTTGTAAATGCACACGCTACGTCTGGAATTGCGGTATTCAAGTGTGGAAAATACGTTAGCATATTGCTTAAATTTGCATATGATCTTAAAATTATTTTACATTACTAACTTTTAAATTTCTTTAGGTAAAACTGCTAAACCAGAGGTTGATAAGGATAAGCTCGACAAGGAGTTGGACCAATATATGGCCACAACAAGAACTGAGAGTAGTGACTTTCTGCTAAGGAATTAGGTCACTTAGCGTATTAGCATAACCACCGTGAAATATATACATAGAATAGTTTAAACATAATATTTATTATTTTACATAAAACAATTTGAAGAGTGTGTACGTTTCTTTTAATACGTAAAATATTTCAACTTTTAGTTAAGTAAAAGCAGTGAAAACTGCATAATCAAACCTATGTATATAAATAAAGTAATTTACATTAAGATCTTACCTATTAGTACTGCGTAACAATTTTGTAAAATCCTTTATTATCTCAAAGGAAATTTGAATTTAATATACTTTATTGTTGCCATTAACAAATAAATGATATGCAGCATAAAAAATTCATAAGTTTTATTTAACAATTTTTTTTAATTAAACAAAAAATAGGTTAATTTTGGCTACATATATGTATATATCCTTCACAGTTGCATGTATCTATAACATTTGTGTGCAGCTTAACCTGGAAACGTAATCTGCCAAGGGATGCTAATTTTTTCAAGCCACAAAGTTTGTTATGAATAGCCTTCAAAAGAAATTTTGTGTGGAGATCAGTTGGTCTCTATGACAGTAAATGCTATTTGTAGATTGTAGCGTTGCATTCAATAACTTAATTTTGATCGCCCGATTTTTATGACAGCTATTGTAGTACGATTTGAATAATTTTTTCGGAGATTGTACCATTGCCTTGGACAATAATCCATGGCAAATTTAGTGATTAATGATTTTGATCGGCTGCAATTTGCTATCGTGATCCGTCCTGATGAATATGTTTGGAGATTGTAGCGTTCTCTACTAAAACATTTGTCAAATTTTTTGAATTTATTTAACATTGGTCAGAAACTAATTTAACAATTCTGTTTTTTATCGCTGCAGCAGTTCGAATGTCGTAAAATGTGTATAAACCACTGTAATTGGCTACAAAAAGGTACACCCTCACACTAATATATGTAAGTACATGCATATGTGCACGCATGTACGATTATGCTTGACCTTCTGCTATAAGCTGCCTTAACAGGTATATACCGTCATAAATGTGTAACATTGTAGTTTTTGAAGGAAAATACAGTGTATACACCATAAAATTAACTTTTGCCTGGCGTATAAAAACGTATAAGGGAACATATACATATGTTCATCACGGAATATGTGGGAAGTAACCGTCTATACAGTTTTTCCTTCCTTCGCCTTTTTATTATTATTTTTTTGCCGTGAAAGGATTAAAGAAATAGTAAAATACAGGTCAACGGTGTAAAATGGTGTTATAAAATGTCAAACAGCACAATATAATTTGTTTTCTTTTTAAACTCTGAACATGGTAAGTTTCCAACAAAGCATTTAACACCCAGAAGAAAACATTTGAGACCTTTTAAAAAACATACATGTATATTTATAAATTATCGGCATGACGAACTGAGTAGATTTAGCCATGCCCGTCTGTCTGTCTTGAGCTAGTACCTCAGTTTTTGAGATATCGAAATTTTACACACGTCCTTTTCACACCAAGAAGCTGCTCCTTTGCTGGAACCGCCGATATCGGATCATTTTATTTACAGTTTTACTAAAAAAACAAAGAATTAATTAAATTTAATTTTTTTCTCGAACTCTTTGTGTGTCAGCCCAACAAAAAAATAAACTTCATGAAAACGATCCAACCTAGTGTACTACTTTTTTTCTTTCTGGCTTTGTTGTACAATTTCAATTGCCGAAATAAATCTAAGAATAATATTGCATAACTTTTTTGCGTCTATACCACACTAGACTTAATCAAGAAAACTTAACTATGACAGGATGTAGAACAAACGCAAATATTTGCATCAAAAAGTGTAAAAATATAACGACACTTATAAATACATATACATATATATATAAATGTCAAACTTGGTCAATGAAAATATGATGCTATAATAAAATCAAAGCTCTGCGTTATTTTTATAGATATTTACACAAGTTTACTTCACACAAAGAAAGATGTGATGCAAAAGTTGTTTGCTAGTTGTAATACAAATTGTAGCAATCAAGTATTTTTTATTACTGAGCTCAACTGTTTTTCTGCGAAAATTTAATCAACTCCTGTGTGGAATCTTGTGTGCATCCATATGTACGTATCTACATGCATACAATATTACTTAAATAAATCCCTTTGCCTTAAAAAAGATATATGTATGAAAGAGTGGTATTTAATAATACAATACATATGTATGTCCATATATATGCATGTGTAACCTTTTACAACAAAAAAAAAACAGCATTACAGTAAATTTTCACAAAAAAATGTGGAACGCTTCACGATTTTGCGTGTCATCCTTGCGCAGGGGCCATGCTAATCTTCTCTGTATCGTTCCAATTTTAGTATATGTTCTGCCGAAGCAAGAACAAATGTGAATGGCAAGTTACGGTACTTATATCATTCGCTTACCGAAAATGCAACTGTGAATTATAATTCTCATAGGCAACGAACGAAAAATGTGTAAGCAAAAATGCAAAATGTATAAATGTAAGAGGAAGAAAAGTGTGAGAGAGAGAGTGAGCGGGACGAAACATTTTGTGATCACGTTTACGTACGTAAATAGACATTTAAAAGCTTTTGCATTTACATCCAAGTATTTGTAATATATTATATTTGTAATATATACGTATATATACAAACATTTATTAAAAATGTATGTGCATTTTAAATTAACTAATGCAATACATTCTTGGTAAACTCAAAATAGTAATTTAAATACATTATCATGCAATTACATATTCACAAAGAGAAATATTTTTTTAGCTAAATATAATATGATTGTGTGCACTAACAACCGACTTTGAAGAGTAACGAAACGAACCAGTGTTGGTTAAGTATTTTTAGTTGGTTTTAGCTAGTCTTGATACCAAAACAACTAGTGCTCTCTAAGCCGAGCTAACTAATTCAAATAATTATAATAATAATACCCTACACAAATACAAAAGATTCCTTACAAGAACTTCGATCGGTCAATTTGTATGCCAGTTATAGGCTATAGTGACGCGATCTGAATAATTTCTTCGGAGATTGCACCGTTGTCTTGGAAAATAACCCATGCCAAAGTTGGCGAAGATATCTCGTTAAATGAAAAAGTTTTCTAAACCAGCACTTGATTCAGACAGCTCAGTTTGTAGGTATGACAACTATATGCTATATTGAATCGATATCGACAGTTCTAACCTACAAATGAGCAGCTACTTAGAGAAAAAAAAAACGTGTACGAAATTTCATATCGACGGACAGTCGAACATGGATAAATCGACGCAGCTCGTCATACTGATCATTTATACTCGTATATGTATATATTTTATAGGACCTGTTCTGTTCAGGATAAAAAGACGCTTTCGTTTTCTTCAAAAAAAAAAAAAAAAAAAAAAAAAAAAAAAAAAAAAGAGACAAAGAGAAAATATAACCACAAGGTTTGGTATAGTGAGTTGGAGGAAAGGTATAAACCGGTTATATTTATGGTAACACATTCGACTATACCATATTAGTTGAAGCTTAGTAAGTTTATTAAGTTGTTTCAGATATTGTAAAATATATACTGTAAAAGGTGAAACGGAGGGACAGAAATTCGGGAAATTTTTGAGAAGCTAGAGAAAATGTAAAAAATGTATATTAAAATATTTTTAAATCAAAATTATCAATTTATAAAATATTAAGGAAATTATTGTCTTTCCAGTAAGCCTTGCAATCAAGCGAATCGACATCTGCAGTGCCATCTCTTTGACATTTATCCGTTATTACACAAAAAACAAATAAAAGCACAAACAATATTTAACTGCAGTACAAAAATCTAAAGACGCATAAATTCTAAATAAACAATTTTGAATATTTTACACAAATACGCAATACACAATGCCTAATCTCTGTCATCAATCTTCAATTGTGGCATGTTGGCAGGAAACAAGGCTTAAGACCTCCGCACGCAATCAAATATTAACAAATAAATACATATGTACCAATGAATTACATAAATGGCAAGTGAAACACTTGCAAATACAAGTGGTTAATCCTTGTGTCACTCAAAGCCGCCCTTGATTCTTGGTGTACAAAAGCTAAAATCTGGTATTTAGTTGAACAAACATATTTACATATATAATACTTGCATATGAAAATGCTTCCTTACAATTGCATAACTGTATTGTCTGATGAAATATTGGCATATTCGATTTACACTTCTATTATGAATTTGCATTTGGTATGTACAATAACTTCTCAGTCGACACTTTCGCTCTGTGGTTGATTGGTGTGGCTTTAACTGAGCGTCCTAAACTAACAGTTGCCAATAGGGGCTTACATATATACACTCATATATTTGAGATTTGCGAATAATGGGTGTTTCGAAAAGTTTAGCAACAAATTACCGTTAGTTGAATGGGAGATGTTTTACTGAGAGACACCAGGGCAGTGGTTATCAATTCATAGATTTAATAACGATTAAAATAGCATAATGATGATCTTCATTTTGAAGACTGTGCGCTACAGACGACATATTGTCACAAGAGTCGGTACTATGAAATTTGAGGGAACACAGCTTGACTTTTGCTGTTGTCAAGTGGAGTTCATCAAGGATTCGAGCAGGTTTATTACTGCTACCTCTGCTTCAGCTGCTGATAATTGCGCTACTGCGGAATAGAAGGAAGAAGATAAAAAGCAGAACTCGGAGTCAGAAGATGACGACGATGTGGGTTTTGGTCGCTTTGGCTAAACATCTCAGCATTAAAGTTGTTGTAAATCTCATTATTCAAAATAATTTGGGTATGTATATGTATATTATGAGTCTTAACTCTTGAAGATTGGTCATCAGGAGCCGGACTGCTTAAACTGAATATTATGCTTTGTTCAATACTGGATTTCCACGAAGATCTGATTTCTTAATATCGACAGGAAAGCTTTGAGTTGCATTTAAAAGTGGCGCTATCAGTCAAAAGCACTATTGGACCCGGTATTAGTGAACTCGTTTTCTTTTTCCAGTAGTAAGAACATGGATTCGCAAAATGTTCAACTTGATCATCATTTTCTAGCTGTTGTTGATTGACTGTTTGAAATCTTAGACCGTTGAGTCTATTACACATTTTGACTAATAGACATAGACGTTATTATAACATATTAGCGATGTTTTGGTCCATTTTTTCTTTTTCGAGAGGCAAAATAACGATTAAGTCCTTCAATCTTCATCTCTTCCAAGTTCTTTGATTATATTAATATAGTTTCGAGTTCATTCTGATAGACTTTAATTTCATATTGTTAATAGTGCCTCGAGTGAAAAAATATCAAAACAGATTTTTCAAGTAATTCTAGACTTTGCGTAACGTCGTCCGCTAAGATTAG